TGTGCTCGCATTTGGTTTTGTCAACGCTTTGAACAAAAATGGAAGCTGGAAGTGGCTGAAACAGCTGGTTTCCTGGCTCACAGGTAAATGAGATGCACGCTTGCACCCAAGAACAGCTTTTCTCCGCTCACAGTTAAGTCCTTACCTTCTTCGGTCGTCCGCGGACAGAGCCTCCAGGGCTTCACACTCGTACAAACAAGTGTCTTGCCACTTTCAAATGCTTAAATATTGGCAAAGATTCAGCATCTACCTATGGTTCAAAAATCTGTTCACACCCTGGACACATGCAAGGCATCAATTCATCTGTGTGTGTGTGTGCGCCAGAAGCCTTGTGGTTCTGCTTGTTGCAAAGTACCATCAAAGCGTAGGGGGCGGTGGTCTGAGTTCCTTGCACCAGAACGAAAACCAAACAACTGGAAGGGACAAGCCTGTCCTTTCCAACTACGCCAAGACTTGAGACTGAGGAGTCTTTTCATAGTTATACTATTCTAGCGGGCGGTGGAGGCTGTAGCTGGTAGCTTACAAGTCAGCTAAGTAAGCAACAAACTACTCAGCACTACTAAGTTTCAGAAGCTTCTTAGGCTGGGATGCAGGAAACTCAGGTTTCTATTCACTTGGTTTTTAGATTTGGGGGGAATTCAGCTACACTATCCGTTTGGCCTCAGCTGGCCTTCCAAAAAATGACCCGATCTTTCTGCCATGGCACAGCAGGGTTCGTCTTATTCTTGGATTCCGCAGTGAGCGGCTGGCTCGCTGCAGCGCCACACGGGCGCTGGAAAGCTGCTCCAATGGCAACTGAGCGGTGAAACGAAACGCCAAGAGAAAAGAGATCAAACGCTACAGTATCCTAATGTGTCTTTGTGAAATATCATCCGAGAAAAAAAACAAAAGTTAAATATATAAAGCTGCTAATGTGTTCGCCCTGCCCCAACAGCCAAGCTACCAAATCCATGCTTAAGACAGGTATCGGAAACATACATACCTCCAAAATACAGGTATGTATGTATGTCTGTGCTCCTGGGAAACGTACATACGTTAAAATTAGAGGAATGTATGTGCCTATTGGAAACATACATACGTCCTCCAAGTTACAGGTATGTATGTATGTCTGGGTCCGTAGTGATGCATTAACAATTAGCTGATTTAAGTGACCTACAACATCTCAAAACATATATACCGTCTATCCAACAATTAAGATATGCTTGGTACAGATGAGTTAGGACTGTGGTGGTCGATGAGTTAGGACGGGTTAACTCATAACTCATGTGTATTGGGATGGTGCACATGCCCTATATAGACTCAAGAGATAGGAAACGGATATGATAAGGGGACCCTGCCTGGAAGTTCCATCTCACAATTGTCGGAACAGGCTTCGGACACAAGATGTCATGTTTGTTCACTGCACCGGGCTCATGAGCTAGGAGTTATGTGTGAAAAAGGCAAGCGTCAGGGATCCAGAGTTCCAAAGACTTAGTTCTGGAGATAAACCCTCTCCAAAATTGAGTGCAGCCCAGGTCTGAACTCTAGAGGAAACCCTGTGGCTTTGCACTGTCATACGCAACCGGGACCAAAGTTTGTAGATCAGTTTTTAACCCCTTCAAGAGACTGAACTCCGGAGTTTTTCCTCGAGCAAAACAAGGTCTGCATCCTCAACATTAAGGAGCCGGGTTTCACTACGATATGAAATCACGGACTCGGGTTTAATTAAGAGGAAATGACAAACCCGGGTTTAATAAAGACTCAAGAAATGAAATGGGCAACTAAGAATTGAAATGAGAGACCCGGGTGTAACTAAGAAATGAAGTTTGAAGTGACAAACCTACATTCAGGTAAGAAATGAGCTGACAGGCCCGGGTTCAACTAAGAAATGAATTGACAAAGGCGGATTTAATTCAGAAATGAAATGACAGGCCCGGGTCCAACCAAGAAATGAAATGGTGGGCGGGTGTAACTAAGAAGTGAAATGACAGGCTGGCTTTGGGTCTAACTAAGAAAAGACATGACAGGCCGGGTTTAACTAAGAAATGAAGTGACAGGCCGGGCAAAACTAAAAATGAAGTGACAGGCCGGGTGTAAGTAAGAAATGACATGAGTACTAGGGTAATTCTATGCGTAGGGGTTTTATGTGCAACAAGAACATAGACAATAAACTTGCGAGATAGTGCCACGCAAACAATCACGACAAAAAAAGGCTGAACTCTAGAGTTTAGACTTGGTCGCTATTCCAAGGAAAAGAGAACAAACTCCCAAGAGCAAGCTCACTACAACAATCGCATCCCTTGACTTGTTTTAGAGTCAACACAACAAATGAAGACAAACGCCTGATGGATCATGATGGATCTCCAAACTATATGGGTACAACGTCCCTCAGACCCTGTGGACGGCAGCAGCATGGTCGGCAAAAACGCCTTGGAATTCCGATCAAAATTGAAAAACTGTGAAACTGGGGTCGTCCGAAACTAATGACTTCGACATCCGACGACGCACACTTTCTCTTTCAGCGCAATTTGCAGGCAGCAGCTAGCTGCTTCAGCATCTCATCAGGTGTGAGATCTGTGGTCACCTTCAGGTTTCGGCGCCACAGCCATTGGTACACTCTTAACTTCAACACAGCTTAGCGTGGAGCCGACACCTGCTTAGCAAAAACTTTTCTCTGATGGCTGACTTGCACTATCGGCACCTTCAAGTCTTTGGCAATTTTCTGCCACGAGAGCGCCCCGTCAGCATACAAAGCAGGCTTGGCTGCACACAAGGATCATCTTGGAACAGGTCCGCTTCGGACTCCATTTCCTGCAGTTGATTAAGTTCAAAAAAACCGTCCGCAGAATGAGGCCCTTCTTCTTTTGGAAAAGTTAGCATGGCAAGGTCTGCAACCAAAAAAGAATAAAAAGCTGAAATCTGCAATGAGGAATCTTCCAATTCTCGTTTGCGCTGCGTTTGTCCGCGCAGAAGATCACGACTCAAAGCAGTCAAAGGTTGATCGTAGTCGTAGTCATGTTGATCTTCCCAAGAGCAAGGAGACAAAGGTTCCTGAATGTGGTTTCCGTGTCATCGTTGCAAGCATGTTCTTAGGCTATTCTTCTTCCAACGAGACGTGGAACAAAAGCAAATGCCAACTCTTGAACACTGCAAAAGTCCTTCATAGCAATTCCACGACCATCATGCGGATAGCGTGCAACGTCCACACTACAGGGGAGAATGAAAAAAGTTTGGGAAAAGAGAGCTTAAGACATCAAGTGGCCAGTATTGGCCGTCGTTGCGGAGGCGTTGCAGGGGCTGAAGTAGATGGCCTAGAAGGACTGTGAGAGACTAGCTTCCTCAGATCAAATGAAACAAAGTGTGGTGTCGAGGCTTGCACATACGACTTTTGTCGCCATTAAAAGTCTCCATGTAAGAGCACATGTCAATAGCACCCCACCCCACCCCCTCCATCGCGTAGCATCTGCTACCTTAAACAACTGCTCGTAACGCCAAGTTGCAGAAACGGAGTTCCCGCATCCATGCGCCGACGCAGCGTCACCAAAGCGGCTGCTACAGATCCATCTCGTGATCCATTGCCGTCGCAGAAACTGAACACATGTTGACATCCTTTTCATGAGTGTGTGCAAGTGGTTGAGATTCAAGTTGCACAAAAAAAACATCTATTTCGTTTCTCCTGCTTCTATTTCATCTGTCCGGGTAAAGGATACCTGCCTACCTGGGCCTTGATGCCACGACGCCAGCGTGCAAGAGAAAAAAATCGTGCAAAAACTGATTCAATAAAGCCCGATCGCGTCATGGCTCACAGGCCCCTGAAGACGTTTTAGGCAACTATATATATAGAGGAAAGCCAAACTATAGAGAAAGGACCGAACTCTGGAGTTAACCTCAAAATGTACATGTGTGTGAAAAGACTGAACTGTAAAGTTTAGACTTTGAACTCTGAGACTCAGTCCTTTCTGTAGTGAAAAGATTGTCTAAAAGTACCTTTCCACATGAGATAGGACTCATAGTTCTTGGTGTACCTCCGCTAACTCCTAAGTCATGAGTACACAGTATATTACAAAGCAGTCGTTTGTAAGCGCTCCAACTTCCTTTTCGGACATACCAACAAAACAACAATAGTGCCACAATGCCAGACAACGACTACTTGAAAACCCTTCTGGAATGCCACAACCATGAACATACTTACAAAGTCCTATGAACCGAACAAAGGATTACGGAGGATAAGACAAATAAAGAAAACCCTCCACTCCTGACTTTCTGGAAGGTAAACTGGATTTAGAAGTCCTATCGTGGATGTCAATGTCTCTGTGTATGATATATGTCTTTAGACCTGGACACCAACGATACGAATAGTAATGGATCTTCTTTACAATCTTGAATACATGCACAATGCACGTACATAATTTGCGTATATCATAATATGTGTGTATATATATATACATACTGCGGCAAGAAAAGTTGAAAAGATCACAAGCATGGCAAACGAACCAGGATGAGGTGGCAGGGCAAAGCCTACCCAAAACAAGCACTAGCTAGCGACAGCACCAACAAAGGTCCACCTCTTCCAAGAACCGCAACGAGTGTGAATATGTTGACCAAACTTTCTCCAAAGGACCGGCTTTCCAAGAAATTGTTTTAAAAAAGGTACAAAGGGGTTTGTCGGAAGAGCATGTTCGTTGCTTGGTTGTTTTTTAGTTTTCTTCAATGTTTTGTCCTTTAAGTTGACGGATGTTGCTGTCGGTATTTAGCGATCGCTTGGCAGCAAAACAGCATAGTGTTTCATCTGGCCTCTGGTAAGTGGCCAGTTTGTGCCCCACGCTGTGCGCGACGAAGCCACTTCATTGCGTCTTTGCAGGATTGTTCCGCCTGTTTGCACAGCACAATGGTCCAAACAAGCATCGTGTTTCTTCAAAAGCTCAAACCAACAAGCCATAGTCAACTTGCTCTTCCCACTTAACATTGTTCTTTGGGCTCTCCCCACTTTTGCCCACTTTGCAATATCAAGCCAGGCCATCCTAGCCATCCTTCCGAATTCCACATTTGTCGTGTGAACTTGACACCATGGTCTTCTCAACAAGGCAACCGAAGGGGTCCGCCTTCACGTAGCTTTCCTGCAGAATGTCCCCAGAAAGGGCCTCCATGCAAATGTGTCCGGCAAAAGCTTTGCAAAACGTGTTTCACCTATGAGGCCAGAATGGACGGCTTCCACCAACAGCCAAATCCAGCGTTCTCTATGGCTTTTCTTATTACACCTTCCATGCTCTAGCCCCAGAATCTCATATATGTGTGATTATGTATATATATATACTGTCTATATATATATATATTAGACATATATATATATATATTAGACCTATACGGAAAATGAAAAGCATTTGAGTTCTTTCGTCAAGTCTTGACATTGCCTCGAGGGTCTCCCGAGCATGGCGCTCGAAAGCACGAAAGCCTTCATCGCCCAGCGCACGGCCTGGAAGCACAAAAAGTCCACGGCCCTCTTGCTGACGAAGTGAAAGTTTAAGAAGAAGAGAAGAAGAGAAGAGAAGAAGAAGCATTGGTTGCAGATGTATAGATTTTGAGGCACAAGCATCAATGTTACTTGACTGGCAGCAAACCTTTCTGGCCTTTCCATTGTCCTCCTGTGGCCAGCGCAAAGTCTCCACGTCGGCTGGGATTGGAATGGTGAGCAGTTTCACCAAGAGGGAGAACCATCTGAAACCTGCGAAACATCAGCAGACAAGGGACAACAATAATTGCAGGCTGATTTGCCATGCAGAACATAGTTGACTCTACACGACAAGGAGCTGCTTCCAGAACGGTAAACCTTTTGTCAACCGTTCGAAGTGTTCCGGGTCAAGGTTGAAATCACCCAGAAGAAGGCAAGGAGTCTGCAGAGTGACACCCTCGTTCTCCGTGCCGTTCAAGCCGGCCAACGATTCGATGGCCCTGCGCAAGGGATCCAGGTATTTCTCATACGTCAGGCCTTTCGTAAGAAACATCTGCGGCGGATGCAAATGGACGGAGCACACCACCAGCCGCTCCGCTGGCTCTGCAGGCTCCGCAGGCTCCCGCCCTGCTGGGCGCTCCAGCAGAGTGACCAGGTGGTCCCGAGAGGCTCTCCGGGTCCGTCTGCCAAGGCTCGGGGCACTCAGGATTGCACTTTCCGTCCGAAGGCACTTGGCATTGTGCAGAATCAAGGCTGAACCTCAAATCACCAGAAATCAGTGGCAGAAGATAAACAAGTTTGACATGTGGTATGCCACAAAACATTGCCACATCTTCTAACGGTGTGGCATTAACAGCTTCCAAGACAATCTGCACCAATGGGTGAAAAGTGGTTGGCAAACCGATTCGCTTGGTGAATATCTTTGCTGCTCTCTATCCTTCGCTATGCCCTGGGTGATGCAGTACTTTGATATGCCACTCACAGTGTGTTCTCTCGGACACAGGGCATTCCCCACCAAACAATGACTCCAGCACCAACTTAGCAAGCCTACTGCCTTCAAGAAATGCAAAATTTAGTAGCTGCAGAAAGACCGAAAAGGATTAAAGCACGCTGAAGCACATGACTCCACTTCCACACCACGGCCATCTCTATCATTCTCGCCACGCAGAACCAAAAACTGACCCAGAGCTTCACAAAACAAGGGATCAGCTTCCTGCAGCGAAGAGCACTTCACAGGAGTTCAGAACTTCTTCACGTCTCACGTGTTGAATGCCTATTGAATGCCTTTCCATGCACATTCTTCCAGGAGCCCACGACCGACTTGTCAAGACACCAAATCACTTGCGTCCAAAAGTGTATAAAACAAGTGGTGGCGCATTCCAGCAAAGTTGCTCTTTGGCAGGGTGCGAGGTCTGTTCAAACTCTTTCCCACTGCAGTCTTGATTAAATATATATATATTAATAATAATAACAATAATAATAACGGTATTATATAACAATAATAATAACAACAAATAAGTAAAGTCCATCAAAGCTGCTGCTGAGAGAACGTGCGCTTGCCTATCACCCAGGTTTGAGCGCTTCTCTTTCCCTTTGACTGCCGGACAGAAATGAAAGCCCCTTCCTGTTCCCAACACTGGTGGGTGCGAAGGCAGTCCTGAACTGCCACTATATCATGCTCTGCCACCCAATGCTGGAGCTCTGCTGCAGAATAATGCACCTGCAGCCTGTCGATGGCGGCAAAAATATCCTTCAGAGAAAGTCCAGCCATGAGTGTTGTCTCAAAACCCTAGTGGCAAGAAGCTACGAGTAACAAGGGCATCGCTACTAGTAACAAGAAGCTACTAGTTAAGTTTCCCTAAAAATAAGTGCGAGCGCTTCTTCAAGGAAGCTTCCCCCGCCGCCCAAAAGGAGAAGCGTGAGCTATCCTGCGTCCTGTCAGTAGTAGCTACTTAAGCTACTAGCTACTACTTAGCTACTGCTAGCTACCTACCTAGTCGCGGCCTACCCTCCCCCCCAACATGTTCTCCCGGTGTGGAGACTAAATTGGAATCCGTAACCGAATATGGTACCCACTTCAGAAGTGTCCCCAACCGAGGACAATCCAGAACCTCTTCAAACCCCTCCAGCACGCAGCGAGAACATCCCAGAACTCGATGTGAAGTGAAGCCACACAGAACAAGTGGGATAACTGGGACAACGGAACTTCCACACATTCCAACCTCCAACACCTCTTAGACATCCTTGGAACCTTACTTGGAGACCTTCTGGGAGCAGCTTTCCCAGGAGGGGCTGACACCCGCAATGCCTTCCGGCAGAAAGCCAAGGGCACGACGGCTGTAGTGGTTGGTTGAAGGCACAAAGCCCAGTGAAACAAATCGGATCAGTTTGTTCAAGCGTTGGCCAGAAAAGAATATCAATAGCTTGGTCCCTTAGTGTGTTTTGTTCATTCAACTGTTAGGGAAGGCCACAGCGGGCACGAGAATAGTCACAGGTCCCACTAGTTTTCATGTGCTGGACGATGTGAGCATGCCCGTACCAACATGTACAAAAAGAAGCTCACAGACAAGGGGCATAGGATCACAATGCCTAACATGGTGATGTGACTCTGCCCTTATGAGGCAACACTCTTTCTGCGAATGTTCCTTTTGCAGCCACCCCTTAGAAACATCCAAACACTGCCTACGAATGTGGAATCTCTAGACTGTTTCACACGTACACGAAAGAAATCCCAAAGTCACGACTTCCAAGCACGATCTGAGAATTGCAAGCTTGACAAATTGTGATCAAACACTAAGTTGTGTGACTTGAAGCTTTCCTGTATATACTTCGTCCTGCGTGGCCCTGCCAATACTGTTCTCAATCGAAGTTAAACACATTGCAAGCCAGCTGCTAAGCGTTTTGCATCTGTTGGCTATATATGTACCCCATTTCAACGAGGCCCGGTTTCTTGCACTGTCCTGTTGGCTGTGGCCGCGCTTCTGCAGCAAAGAAATCCAAAGGCAGTCCTCAGAAATGACTTCGCTCAACATCATCCAAAGTCCAAAGCAACTATATATTTAAGCAAGGTGCTACAGTAGGTACTAAGGAATATCAAAGCAAAGAATGGAATTGACTACTTTCTCTCTCTCTCTCTCACCCGTGCATCAAGGATGAGTGTGTAACTATGTGAAACGAACTTATGCTTGTAGCAAAGCTTAGAGCACCTGCTGCACCCTCCATTAGCCAAAAAGGCTGAATGGTAAAGTATGATGCACACTTGGCCAGGCACCCTTTGGTAGTAGCTGGACTTTCGATGCTGGTTCCATGCTGCCACAGACCACGCCACACCAGTGAGGTCAGTTGGGACCTTCAGTCAAGCTTTTATGCGAAGGTTTTCAGCTCGGCAAATCAACTGTGTGCTGACTGTGCCCAAATCTATCTGGGTACCCCGCCAAGACAATAATAGGAATCAACAAGGCAATGTGCCGGCGGCACGGCATCCGGCATCAGCTCAACAAAGGAACACTTGTTTGACGCATGGTGGTGTCCAAAATGTTCACAAGATTTCACACCTCTTACTAGTGTCGTCAATTTCCTTTGTTGTACATGTTGCATTTCACAAGGCTGACTCAAGCTTCCTTGCCCGGGATTGAATAAAGTGCGAAAGTGCAGGCTTGAAAAAGAGTCTGAATGATTGAATGATTGTGAGATATATAAGTGAAACGGCTCCCTCTTTCATAAAGGAACCGAAGGAGCACATTCTACGACAACGGCCTCATTCTCTTTTGTCACTCTGGCCCATGCACGGGGCAGCTGCGCACGTATCCAAAAAAGCTGCAATCTACATAGGAGCCTCCGCCGCGCTTGCTCACTCGTTCCGCACAACGAGCGTGACAGTCTGACTTCCAGGAAGAATCTGTACGGGCTGGCAGCGCAGCGCTGCCAGGTTGTAAAACAAGTCGAGTATTTAGACCAAGTTGGATGACACAAAGATAGAAGTTCCCTTCCAAGTAAGCTGCGGGAAATTGGCAGGCTCCCCGCTTAGCCATCAAGGCCAGACACAGATGCCATTGCATCACTTGATTGCATCACCTTGTGAAACGTTGGCACCTGATCTCGATCTCCACGGCTTTAGCCGAGTTGGGTACCAAGGACCCAGAGTCAGCTGAGTGAGTCGCTGAATCAATACGAGTAACCAGGGCACGTGCCACCTCTTTGAATTTCATGAGTATCTCTGTACAAATATGCCCCATATGCCAAGGATCTTGTATCAACCGAACCACTCACTCTTGCTTCTGGGCTGAATTAAAGACAGGCTTGCAGCAAGATCTTGTGGCACCCTTAAAAATAGAAATCGCTGCCCTACTTGTTGTCCCAACCTATAGATTCTGCCAAGCACAATTTCAGCCCTTTTTGCTGCAAGTAGATCTCTGGTGTTTGGCTTTCAGCTGCACAGAAGCTTCGCTTCATCCAGCATCAGCCGGGCCTGAAAGCTGCATGAGGAAAGATCTCAAAAGAAAGTGACTCAAAGTCTCCAACAAATCATGTAGCAAAGCATTCTGGGCATGTTCCCTTCATAAGACTCACAAATGATTGCACACTGAAGAATTCACCATCCATTTCAGCTCCCAACAAGCTCTTGCTTTTGGAGCTTTCGATTCATGCGCCCTCCTCCTCGAGGCAACGCTGGAAAGGAAAAGAACTCTCCCTGTCCTTTCCCCTGGAAAGTACCGAAAATTCCTGCAGTTTGCAAGTCTGGCATGATATTGCGGCCATCCCCTAGCCGCCTAGCCTTCTCCCAGCGATCAAATTTGTCATCCTGCCAGTAGCCAACCTCAGTCATGCAAATCCGCCCGCACCGAAGGCGCTGATGGGCGTGATTATGTTCGGTCGCGTTCACTGCTATATCGTTTCAGCAACCTCTTTTCGCTGGCATTGAAAATGCATATCCTGCATCATGAGGTGTGTCTGGGAGAGGAGTGGGGGTAAGAGAACATGGCTTTCACATATCATCTATGTCTTACTGTATCTCTCAGTTTGTCTTGTTTGCATCACCAGGTCCATGAAAGGCAAACAAACGACTTCTCTCAACAGTCTTTTTTGCATCGCACAAGCCGAAGCTGAGTGCAGACCCAGTGGTTAGCTATCTACTTTGCAGAACGAGTTGAAACTTACGAGCTTTGCAGCACCATTTATATTCCATATGAATCATCGGGAGGGGGGAGGAGCAAACAATAAACATAACGCGGGCGGAACAGGAACACAAAAGAAGCGACAGAGTGGGGAAAACCTAGCATTTTGAAAAAGGCCAGGCCGGGAATGTGCGCGCTTTCGGTGACGAGGTTTTCGGTGACGAGTGATCAAGCTTTCGGTAACGAGGTGGTTGACACATGGTCAGGAAAAATGCCGCCTTTGTTGGGCCAAGTTGCTCACTAGATGCCTTTGATGATTGTTGCTGATGTCAAACTCATCTGCTTGACAACCTTCTCTATACGCAACAGCATTAGTTTTGATTAACAAGTAGGCCCTGGGTTTGCCTACTCGTGTTGCATGATCAGTTCTCGGTATGAGCGAGTTAGGAAGGAAAAGGACCTGGCGCATGAGATCTTGAGGGTCTGCTCAGATGATGTGTCCCAAGAGCTTAATCTGTCGTTTCAACCATAATCTTGAGAATTCTACAACTGAGACCCCATGTTGGTTAGAGGCTCTTTCACAGCTGCGTTGGTCATTAATTGCTCTGGAAACACTCGTGGGAGATATATGTATCTCCGATACCCTTCGATCTGGAACGCGTCTAATCGTTGAAGCTCTGACTGATTGAGTTGGCTGGTTCCAACCCAAGTGAAGGATTGAGTGAACAGATTGAGTTTTCCATGACATGGCCTAGCATAATTTGGACCCCGTGAAAACTGTAGTATAACTTCAAGGGGGTCGAAATAAAAATATCCAACAATGCTTGCAAGTTGCAAGTAAGACATAACTAAACAGTTTGCAAGAGGGTCCAAAAATGGTGTGATTTCAGAGACGTCTGCTATTATATTCATCCACCTCATGCTGTGTTCATCTCTAAAATGGTGGGTCGATATGAAAAAAAAGGTGTGTCTATGGAATTGTTAATTCGATTTACATGTATTGGTTTCTAATAGCAAACATTGTTCCTAGTA